AGCCATATCGGTGGGCACATGAGCTCAGCTCCAGCGTGAGCTCATGTGTTCCTGTTATTCTATTCTATGTTATCATGGGTTATTTATATCACCTGATATTCGTGCTTATCAAGTCCAAGTGTAGCTATTGGCCCAAACGGCTATTGAATCTAGTCTCAGTACTAGAGAAAAACAACAGTGTCCCCCATATTCAAAGAGGAGTTAATATATATTAAAGTTAATATACAGTGTGCATGGAATGCATAATGAGTAGCATTCGTAATTTTGATTCCAAATTTACTACTGCTACTGTTCAAGATATACTGCCTGAAGCAACTCTCTCACTTTTGCAGCACAGTACAGTTCACCCCATACAACTTTAGCAGAACTGGTAATCTTGGCCAAAACAAATTTAATGAACTATTTTTTTTCAAAAAAAAAAAAAATCCATTATCCCTCTGTATTTGCTGGCAAATATTTCTTGGCAAAGCCATTTATTTATATGCCATTTATTTTCTTCTGCTGGATAAAAAAAAATCTGATCCTTTTTTGCTCTTCCATTTACTTTTTTTTTCCTTTTAAAGAGCTATCTAATAACTCAGCTGTTTCAAACCCTCATTAATATCTTCTCATTTATTAAATGGTTCCTCTTCCTCTCTAGAACCATTTGTAGCTGAGTTATAAAAGCATTTTCTTCTTTCCCTTCGAGCAAAAGGCAACTAAGTCTACTACTTTCTTTTCTTTTTCTTTTTTAAAAAATAAGAATCCTGCTGTTTTCATTTCTCGTTCCATCTCTTCAATTGAATTGAATCTTTATTCTACGACACATAAAAATGCATCGTTTTGAACAATTTATAAAGACTCGGGTTTTTTTGAAAATCTCCAAACGAAATAAATAAACTCCACGCAATTTTCTTGCAATTTTCATTAATGTCCCCTCATTTTTAAACCAACAAGAAACTAGATAACGTTCAGCCACAGACAATAATATTATTGTACTAATTTTGTAATATTAGTGTACTATTATTACTTTGGTTGTCACAGACTCTGAAGCTACTATGTTTCCCTGAAAATAAGACCCCATCTTATATTTTTTTGAACCCCAAAATAAGCACTTGGCCTTATTTTCAGGGAGGGCTTATAATTTTGGGGCACGTGGAGCAAGACTGGGCTACTCTTGCCATCTTACCTAATTTCCAGCTCTGTCTCCCTAACCCTAACCAGAGGAAATGGCTGTGCATGCATTTAAATATTTTGGGGGAGGGCTTATTTTTGGGGAGGGCTTATTTTCAGGGGGGATTATTTTAGCGCATGAGCTCAAAAGCCCGATTGGGCTTATTATCAGGGTTGTCTTATTTTCGGGGAAGATATATTTCATAAAGAGACCATCTAATCATTGGATTGTCTTCCCATTTTCCACTAATGCCTGGCTAATCATTTAAGGAACCAAACTCTTTGTAAGAAGTAAAAGTTGGGACCTTTTAATTCCGCAGGTTACTTCTGGAAGGAAGTTTGCAGAATCAGAAAGCACAGGAAAAATGGACCCAGTAATAAAAACTATTTGAAAGCAATACTAAACAACATTTTGCTTTGCGAACACAGCTCTATTAGTTCAGTCATTTCATAAAGGAAAGAAAAAAAAAATCTTGTGTGCAAGTAAAGGTTATCTGAGGGACCATCTCTTGCCAGTCATATCTACCTGACCCATAAGAGCGAGGATCCAATCTGGGTCAGTCATCAGAACCACTTTCATTAAGAAATATCCAATATCCATACAATAGAATTAAACTAATCAAGGAGAAGCAACCTAGAGCTAAGGAGAAAATTCCTAACAGTGAGAACAATCAACCAGTAGGATGGCTTGTCTTCAGAAGTTTAACAGATTAACAGAGTTGGAAGGGACTCTGTAGGTTATCTAGTCTAACCCCCCGCCCAAGCAGGAGACCATACACCGTTTCTGACAAATGGCAGTCCAATCTCTTCTTGAAAGTCTCAAGTGATGAAGCTCCCACAACTTCCGAAGGCAACTTCTGTTCCTCTGGTTGATTGTTCTCACTGTCAGAAAATTTCTCCTTATTTCCAGGTTGAATCTCTCCTTGTTCCATTTCCATCTATTATTCCTTGTCTGGCCTACAGGTGTTTTGGAAAACAGCTTGACCTCCTCCTCTCTGTGGCAGTCCCTCAAATATTGGAAGATTGCTATCCTGTCTCCCCTGGTCCCTCTCCTCAATAGATTAGCCATGCCCAGTTCCTGTAACCGTTCTTCATATGTTTTAGTCTCCAGTCCCCTAATCATCCTGGTTGCTCTTCTCTGCACTCTTTCTAGAGTCTCAACATCTTTTTTTTATAGCGTGCAGTACTCTAGGTGTGATCTTACTAAGGCTTTATAGAGTGGTATTAGTACCTCACTTGAGTTATGGGTGCCCCATCACTGGAAGTTAGGAAGGATGGATGGAAGGAAGGAAGGAAGGAAGGAAGGAAGGAAGGAAGGAAGGAAGGAAGGAAGGAAGGAAGGAAGGAAGGAAGGACCCAGAGCATATAAAGAACATGTATGCCAGCTATTCTACTGGGGTTTTTTTTATATATAGAAAAGGCATAGTTAGAGTTGCTTTGTGTATACAAGACTAAATTTTCCTTTCCTTTTTCTGTTAATCTACCCAAGCATTACCAAAGCATGCTGGCCGAGCCAGACAGTTAGAAAGCTTCATTTTTGCTTCCCTGAGAAAGTTAATTTGCTTCAGCGCATATCTAATTCCATGGGGTTCCCTTGTTGGTTTTCGTACGCTTCACAGCTAGAGCTTCTGGTCACGTTGACTAAGTATCATCCCTACATCCAGTTTCTCCCTGGCAATTAATCATAATTTTAAAAAGGCTTCAAGTCCCTTGAAAAAAAAAAGAAAAAAAAAGAAAAAAAAAAGACATCTAAGCACAGCTATCTCTTAAGGAGCTGACCATTTAGCATTCACAGAGTAGTACCAAAATGGGAGAAGGCGTGAAAATTGCTTGAATGTGGAAGAGATTGAAAAGAATAAAGGGGGTGAGTAGAGAAGAACAATCAAGGCACGAAGGGGGTCCATTGGCAGCTAATCCCATCAACGACCGGCTCAGCCCAGGTGGCTAAGAAAACCTGCTAAGAAGCATTTCACATCCTTCAAAGAGACTCCACCTGAATGAACTCTTTATAAACGAGGCTGGCAAATTTCTCACATAGGGGTTTATTTTTGGTTTTTTTTCCTTTTACCCCAGACTAGCGCTAAAAGTTCCTTATTGAAATCTGCACAGATCTTGTTTCTTTGAACTAGACTAGCTGTGTGTGGGACTTGAGACTTAAATTTCCTTACTTCTTTAAATTATGGGGTGGCAAAGACGGGATAAATTGCAGTATCCTGCAATCCATCTCAGCTGGGATTCCAAGGATAGGTAGATGGCAGCAGGGGTAGTATTCACTTATTTTCCCTACCAGTTCGCAAATGTGGTACCGGGTGCGCACGTGCTAGCTCCACTCACACATGCCCCGTCCACATGTGCTGGCCTTCTGTGCATATCTTTTGCTGGCATGTGTGCCTTCCGTGCATGCGCCCAGACACAAAAATGTGCCTAAATAGGATGGCATAGAGCCGGGGAGGTTGGCAGACCCACCGGCGATTTCCGCTACCGGTTTGGGTCCGAACCGGATGAACCTGTCTGAACCGGCTGAATACTTAGAACTTCGCCATTTTCGATCCGACCTAAGCATAGTACATAAAATCATCTGCTACAATATCCTACCAGCCAATGAATACTTCAGCTTCAACCAAAACAATACAAGAGCACACAATAGATACAAACTCATGGTAAACCGATCCAAACTAGACTGCAGAAAATACGACTTCAGCCACAGAGTTGTCAACGCCTGGAATGCACTACCTGACTCCGTGGTTTCTTCCCCAAATCCCCAAAACTTTAACCTTAGACTGTCTACTATAGACCTCACCCCATTCCTAAGAGGTCTGTAAGGGGCGTGCATAAGCGCACCAGCGTGCCTACAATCCCTGTCCTAATGTTTTCCTTTATTCGTATCCATTTCATGTATTTATAATTATGTTTACACTTGAATCTGTCATAAAATGCATGCTTGATGAAATAAATAAATAAAATAAAAATAAATAAAAATACCACCTCTGGATGGCAGTGAGGAGAGATTGTGTTTTTCCTTCTGTCTACCTTCTCTGTGTCAAGTCCTTTTTTTAACTTTTCCCCCACAGTGTAACTTTCTCACTCAATAGATGACCCACGCCAAGTGGCTTAAATGAAAAACAAAGAATTGATTCTGATAATAGGATGACTGGTGCTCAGATGGGAAGGAGCTTATGCACACCCAATCATTTTCGCCAACACTGTTGGTGCAGCCCACAAGCGGTAACGCCCTTCCTCATTCTACCATCTTTAATTGTGTGTCTTTCAGCCAGATAGAACAGCTGAGAGTAGCAGCAAAGGTGCTTTTTCTAAAAGGCAACCAGACTTTCTTTGTTTTTCCTCGTTTTGCATCTCATCCAAGAAGCTTCTTCAGTTCTGACTGAAGGGTGGAGAACCGAAGAAGCTCCTTGGCTGAAGAAGCGAAACGTCTTCAAGGAAAAACAAACAATATCCAGTTGCCTTTTGGAAAAAAAACACTTTTGAGACAACCGTGACCATGACTGAGAATCTCCATAGACATTTAGCAGGTAGTAACAGAAATGAAGAGAAATGCTTAGAAAACGGAACCATTTAAATTGTCTTCTTCGGATAAAAGGGAAGGAGGAGGAGGAGGAGGAGGAGGAGGAGGAGGAAAAAGAAAGAAAGAAAGAAAGAAAGAAAGAAAGAAAGAAAGAAAGAAAGAAAGAAAGAAAGGAAAGGAAGGAAGGAAGGAAGGAAGAAAGAAAGAAAGAAAGAAAGAAAGAAAGAAAGAAAGAAAGAAAGCATGAGAGAGGGGAAAAAAGCAAGGAAAGATGAATAGGGGGGGGAAACTGAGCATTCTTTTCAGCCAAAGGACCACCACTCACCTTAAGGAGTTCATAATGTTGAATGCCATTCACTCCAATATCGGGATCAACAGCCGATGGGACAGAATAGCGGGAATTGATCGCAGTGTTCTCGGGGATGGAGATATTGATGACCGTGGATGGGAAAAGAGGAGCGTTGTCATTTATATCCTCAATCAGGAATCGAATCTTGACCAGCCTGAAGACCTCATCAGGAAGAACCGCGACTTCCACCTCATAAAAACAACGGTTCTCACTAAAAATGCCAGAGCAAAGCTTTTCCCGATCGATGCGGTTGGCCGTGGTGAATATTTCTCCGGTATTCTCCTCCACGCGGACGAGGGGGACATCGCCAGTCTTGTACACGAGCTTGAATTGAAGCGGGGATGAAAGGGGCACATCGGGGTCAAGGGTCAGGTTGAGATCCTTCAGCAAGTTGCCAATAAGGACATTTTCCGGTAACTCCTCCCTCACGGTGTAATTCTTCTCTTGAGCGCCTGACTGAAACACGACGCAGACCAGTAAGACTGCCAAGAGGTAAGTCCCAGAAAGCAAGTCCATCTCCAGAACAGCTAGGGTGTTGTCCAGCTGAACACCAAGCAGAACTAGAAAAAGAAAGAGACAGAAGGAAGAGAAAAGATTGTATTAAAAATGCATTTTTTTTCTCCATCTTTTCCCCCCCCTTACATTAGTTTTTTTTTTTTTTAATTTGATTTATATGCCACCCTTCTCCGGAGACTCAGGGCAGCTTACAATGCATTAAGCAATAGCCTTCATACCTTTGTATATTTATACAAAGTCAGCTTCTTGCCCCCACAAACTGGGTCCTCAATTTACGCACCTTAGAAAGGATGGAAGGCTGAGTCAACCTTGAGCCTGGGGAGATTCGAACTTACAGTAATTGCAGACAGCTGGTGTTAATCACAATGCTTTTAGTCTGCTGAGCCACCAGGCCTGGTGAGCCACCACGGCCAGGGTTTGCCATGAAGAAGAGGGAGTCAAAACACCTGAGGGCAGGACAAGAAGCAATGGATGGAAACTCATCAAGGAGAGAAGCAACTTAGAACTAAGGAGAAATTTCCTGACAGTGAGAACAATTAATCAGTGGAATAACTTGCCTCCAGAATTTATGAATGCTCCAACACTGGAAGTTTTTAAGAAGAGATTAGCTAATCATTTGTCTGAAATTGGTATAGGGTTTCCTGCCTGAGCTGGGGGTTGGTCTAGAAGACCTCCAAGGTCCCTTCCAACTATTCTAGTCTAGTCTAGTCCAGTCCAGTCCAGTCCAATCCAGTCCAGCCCATTCCATTCCTTGTAAAAAAGGAAGAACTATATTCAACAACAGGTAGGGGGGAAAATGATAAGAAACATAACCATAGCATACAAAATTTCAAAACTTTATAAGAACCTGGTGGCGCAGCAGACTAATAGCCTGTTATTATCATTCAGCTGCCTGCAATTTCTGCTGGTTCGAATCTCTCCAAGGCTCAGGGTTGACTCAGCCTTCCATCCTTTCTAAGGTAGGTAAAATGAGGACCCAGTTTGTGGGGGCAATAAGCTGACTTTGTATAAATATACAAAAGTATGAAGGCTATTGCTTAACACATTGTAAGCCGCCCGGAGTCTCCAGAGAAGGGCGGCATATAAATCAAATTAAAAAACAAACAAACAAACCACACAGCCAGTTATATCCTGTATCCAGTTAATTCTGTCCACTCATTTCCCTCCCCCAGCAACCACCTATAACTGGAAACTAATCCCAGGTCACTGCCATGATGGTGGGGAAATGTAGTATTGTGGTGATGGGACATGGAGATATGGTGGGAGTGGGATGATTTCTTAAACCAGTTCTATGTTCCAGCTCCTTGGTCTCAATCCCAGGACCCATTCAGTGGATCTGCTTTTGACTGCTGCTTCTGAATGCCAAGTCAGGCTGTCATAAGGATAAACGTAAGTGTTGATAATCTTTTCAGAAATATAACCTTGTGTGTTTCAGGTGTGGCATAAACTGCAACTCTGGAGTTTGGCAATTGTCATCCAGGAGTCTCCTACAGCTTTTAAGGACACTGCACCATTAATCACCAGATGTGGAACCCTGTTCACTAAGGACCTGTTGGGATTATTGCTGTTGTACCCTGGTGTCCAGCAACCTCCCTGGTTGAGATCTTTAACTCCATTTCTGTGTGGACAGTGGAGTTCTCTAGACTTCTGGTCTTGGAGGACTTCACTCTGCCTTCTCCAGGAATGGGATTTGAGATGGCTCAGGATTTCATGAGGGGCTGTGGGCCTATCCCAGATCATTCAGAGCAGCGAAGTGGTCCAGTGGTGGGATTCAACCGGTTTGCACCACTTTGGTCAAGCTGGTTGTTAAATTGCTGGCTGGCTCCACCCCTCCGTGCCCCGCCCCTTTTCCAGAAGTCCCCACGCACCCTATTTTGGCTCCCAGGAGGCTTCAGGAAGGCCTACTGGGCCCAAAACAGGGTGCAGGGGTGCGGCACTCCCCTCCTCCCCGGGTGGCCTGTTTTTGCTCCCAGAAGGCTGCAGGGAGGCCTACTAGGCCCAAAACGAGGCACATGAGGGGTGTGGCGCACATACCCCCATGCCCCGTTTTTGCTCCCAGGGGGCTGCAGGAGGCTGTGAGCTGCCTGTCACACCCCGTGGCCACACCCACCCAGCCGGTCATTAGGGCAGAGAACCGGTTGTTAAATTATTTGAATCCCGCCACTGAAGTGGTCACATGCCAAATCTGATGTTCCTCTCAGAGCAGTGGCTCCCTGATATGAAATTGAGGGAACTCTCCCTTGTCACTGTCAGATCACACCATGATTGCTATGGAAAGAAGGAAAAAGAAGAAAGGGAAAGAAGAAGAAAGAATGGAAAATACAATGTAAATTGAGGACAATCTATACTTTGGGATGTGCGGTTGCCAACACTAGTCTATTCCGTCTTGGGTTAGAAGCCGAACAGGATCAGGATATCTACCGTATTTTTTGGCATATAAGACGCATCTTTTTCCCCCTTAAAAGGGGGTGAAAATTTAGGTGCGTCTTATACAACAAATGTAGCCCTGCTCACCCACTGGCCCCCACCCTTTGGCATCTGCCTCCCAGCAGTTACCTCCTTGCAGCAAGCAGCAAGAAGAAACAGCTCGTTTCAGCTTCAGCACAGCCTAATTAGCACAAGTTGATTGTCCGTTGGATCGGCCTCCCGACTCTCAGCTGTTTCAGGCTGCAGGGATTGCCATTGCCTATTGCTGCCTGGGCCTCTGCTGCTTGCTGCAAAGAGGTAAATTGCTGGGAGAATATTTTTTTTCTTGTGCTAATCAAGCTATGATGAAAACGAAAAGTAAAGCAAGCTATTTACTGTTTGCTGCAATGAGGCAAAATTGCTGGGAGGCGGAGGCAGATTTCTTTTTCTTGTTTTCCTCACTAAAAAAGGTAGGTGCATCTTATAGTCCGGAACGTCTTATACTCTGAAAAATACGGTAAATATTTTGAATAGGAAATATTTATAAAATACAAACTCTATAAGCTAGGGAAGGAAGTTAAAAATATATCCGCCCCACTCCCAAACACACTGGCAAACCATTTCTGTATAGCTGTCAAGAAAACTCTACATGAATATTTTCATGAAGTCATCAGGAAGCAAGCACAGTTTGATGGAGTCTTGAGGTTATTTTTTAATTCAGGAAAATGACAAAACAATCGCTCCCCCAACTTCTAGGAGAGTAGTGGTGCCTGATGGTTCTTAAAAAGCACAGATAGTCCTGTCTGTTTTCTCACATGATAAACTCAGGGTGGCAAGGCAGAGTGAGTCAGAGTGATGCCCATCTGCCAGACTTTAGCCCGGAGCGGATGAAATGCATCTAAAAGTAATAAATGGAGTTTACCAAAAGTTGAAAGAAATAGCAAGTGGTTTTATAATCATCCAAAGAATTGATTGATCTATCTTTGCTGGCTTCTTTCGAGAAGAGATCATAGCTGATGGTGAGTCAGGCTAAGAGTCGATATTGGGATAAAACTCAAATATTAGAAATCCAAATCTTTGGTCAAGACAGAAGTGCCTCTTCCGTGCCAAGGTGCTGAGATGACAAACGGTATTTGACGTAGGTACAGAATTGTAAAAGGGGCAAACTGACCCTAAACAGATACATCCTGTTGTTTAATGTTTATTACACCCCAAATGTCATGGAGATTCTAGAGATTCTGTCCTCTTTACTGCTCGTGAGGCACCTTTCTCCTTTTATTATGTCTTGAGCTCCGGAGCTGAGAACCTGAGCCTGTGGGAAAAGGGCTGTTATGTCTTTCCTAGAGATAGATTAAAGGGTAACTTCTACGTGTGAAATGTCGCACTCTTCGTAATAACTTTGCCTTTATACTGTATAAATATCTGGTCAAAATCAGCCATCTTTGTTCAGACCCTTCGCTGTCTTTGGACTGTTTGAACCTTGCGCAATAAACTCTTTCCTGCATTGAAGAGCTTGACCTAGTCCGTCATTTTTCCTATAACAATGGTAGCAGACTTGTAACAAGTTATCCATGCCATACATTGATCTTGCTCATGGCTTTCCAATTTAACCTATCCATAATTTCTAGAATCCTTTATTCTTAGGATCACATTTTTTTTTTGCAGGAGTCAGTCTGGGTCAGTCACCAGGACCAAAGGTTTAGTCTTCCGAGCTTTTGGACTCGTGCTGGAGACCATCTTCAGGGAACTTCTCTCTACCACACACTCTGCTGGAGAGAAGTTCCCTGAAGATGGGCTCCAGCATGAATCTGAAAGCTCAGAAAACTAAATCCCTGGTCCTAGTGACCGACCCAGATTGGATCCTGCAACATTATCCTGAGACACATATTTTCGCCTTCACTTTTTTCTTCATCTTCCATATCTAGATTAAAGTTTAAACTGCCAGATTGAAGCCACCTTCTTGGCTTCAATTGGCCAAAAATAAGTAATTATAGAGTACCTTGGACTGTGAGGCGATCAAACCGGTCAGTCCTAGAGGAGATCAACCTGACTGCTCTTTAGAAGGACGGATCCTGAAGATGGAACTCAAATACTTTGACCACTTAATGAGAAGGAAGGACTTGCTGGAGAAGAGCCTAATACTGGGAAAGATTGAGGGCAAAAGAAGAAGGGGATGACAGAGAATGAGGTGGCGGGATGGAGTCACTGAAGCAGTAGGCGTGAGTTTAAATGGACTTCAGAGGATGGTAGAGGACAGGAAGGCCTGGAGGAACATTGTCCATGGGGTTGTGATGGGTCGGACATGACTTCGCAACTAACAACAAAGTAATTATCAGTACATTTTTCTGGTAGTAGCCAACATATCAGCACATTGGCCAAGCTCTGCGTCTTTCCACATTCTTCTTGTTATCCACTAAGAGCCTCCACTCAAGTATATTGGTTTTACACATAGGCTTTCCAACTCTCAACCTATTATATTGATACTGATTGTTTCTTGATTGCTTATTTGTCCCCTATGACTATCATTAAGTGTTGTATCTTATGATTCTTGACGAACGTATCTTTTCTTTTATGTACACTGAGAGCATATGCACCAAAGACAAATTCCTTGTGTGTCCAATCACACTTGGCCAATAAA